CTCTCTCTCTCTCTCTCTCTCTCTCTCTCTCTCTCTCTCTCTCTCTGCAGGTGCATATGTGGAAGCTTAAATATCTCAAATTTAATCAGGTCCCCTTTCTCTCTTTGGTTTTAGTGAATAATCTGCTGAATTCAGATGAGAGCAGCAGGTCATAAATCATCTTAGGACTCAGTGTTATCCTCATGACATTATGTGTCACACTGATACACAATGTTCGTCAGTAACATTATATTCATTATATTCGTATTGTTTTCTGTCTGTGGCCATATGCAGAGTTTAATACGTATTTTTCTACTTAGCTATGTATTTGGTATACATTTTACTTGCTGACTTGAGTTTAAAAAGAACCAATGTGGTGCCCTATTACCAATCTCTAACATATCTCAAACAGATGTCATCAGAGGGAGAGGATTGCTCTAAAATGAGTCCTCATTCCATTTATGCACAACAATAATGCATGAATGTACACAACTGCAAGCTGATTCATCAAGAGCATGAAGAGAGCAGGGAGCAGGGAATAAGTATGTGGAACACAAGCATGATTATTTAACATGTCTAAATATGAGGAAGTTTAAAAACTGGAAATATGTGTTGATCCTGAGCAGAACTGTCTTTACAAAGTAAACTATCTACTTCATCAAAAACGTACCTCTGTGGCAGTAGAGGACACATACAAAACTATTCAGTTGAAATAGTTTGAGTTTTATATGTTGGGTCAGTTCAGTGTATTATGGTTTTCATTTAGAACATGCTGTAACACACATGCACAAACTCACCTGACTTACTGTACAATGAGGGCTAAACTGATGAGGTTGTTGTGTGCAAAGGGAAGTCTTTCAAACCATCCGACACAGCAGCGTCTCCTGTGAATCCAGTCAGCACTAATGGCAATAGCAGAGAGGGGAGGGATGCTTTTTCTTTTGTAACGAGAACCAAGGGAATACATCTCATTATTCTTAAAAGAACCACATGCAGCGACGCTCTGACTTAACGCTTTTTCAGTCATCTCAAGCGTGTTAAAGTGAAAGAGTGAACTATCACTCATGTAAAGCTCAGAAAGCAAACTCAGTGTTTTTCCAAGTCTCCAAGTTTTCAATGTGAAACCATCAAGCAAGTGAAAGCCTTGTGACTTACTGGCAGATCAGAGGCACCACCTTGTGGCTGCTTCCTATCAATGCAGAGCCATCTTTATTTCAAACATGACATGCCAGGGAATTGAATCTCATCTCACTGTAAGTGTAAGCACAGTCAGGGCTTATGCTGCTACAGCCATACTTGGTCTGGTACGACCAGTAGCTTATAGTGGCTAATGTTAGCAAACTTTCGGTAATATAGTGCATATCATTGAGTCAGCTTGTGACTTTTTGAATTATGCCGACTTGTGCTGCTGTTGTATTAGAATAGCATTTTAGCAAAATGTTTATCATTTAGCATTGGTGTCACTGGTCACAGTGGTTGCTGTGGCCTCAGTGGCTTAAAGTTAAGATTTCCTTTAAAAAAACTCTTTTAGATCGCTTGCTCTGCTGTGGTCATTTAGTGCTTCAGAAAATGTTTCTTGTACCCAGACTCATGTAAATAATCTTCTTTGGTGTAAAAACTCAAGAAGCCATCGGCAGTGTTGAAAGCAATTCCTTTGACTGTTTTTGTGTTTACCTTTCTGCCAAAAAACTTTCTTTTTGGTTACTTTGATTTAGTGAATCACAACCGTATTGAAGACCAGGGTCAAAGTTATTGAAAAAGAACCTTTATTGTTTTCTCATCGTCCGTCCGTTTCCCATGAAAGTGCATTATCACTGATCTCACAGTAAGCTAAACTCACATGGTAAAACAAGGACAGAAGGGAGTGAGAGAGAGAGAGAGAAAGACACAAGTCAACCACCCTATACACTTCGTCAGGTACATTCATCTTGGACAGCAAAGTGGTGAGCATGGCCAGAGAGAGAGAGAGAGAGAGAGAGAGAAGAGGGAGGAGGGGGGAGCAGGTTGTTTACGGTCCGGGGGGAAAGGTCAAATGTATAAAACTGGTGTGGACAGTTGAAGAGAGAGAGAGTGAGAGGGAAGAGAAGAAGAGAGGAGTTTGTCTTGGCTCAAGTTGTTCCTTTAGAGTAGTGAAGTCAGACGTTGGTCAGTTCTTCATTTAGCACTTGACCATGGCGGCGAACTCTGCAGGAAGAAGAAAGAAAGAGAGAATTGTCAGTGTTGCTTCGAGATCTTTGGAGGTCTTCACATATATTTAGAACTGGTTCTAATTCCAGATAAAGCTCTTCTTTTTTTCTCACCGTCCATTCCGATCATGCCGTCGCCATCAGAGTCACCGGCCTTGAGGAAGGCCTTGGTCTCAGCGTCGGTCAGAGCTCTGGCAGAGGCAGAGAAGTTCTGCAGGAAGAGCCTGGAGAGGACGAGCAGAGGGAAATGCTGAGTATTGCAGTACATATGCCATCAGACCAGAAATAGGCCAGTATTTATGTCTTCTGCCAGATCAGGAATTGATTGGTTTCAGATTTTTGTAGAGGTCATATTTCAGAAAATATCCAAAGTTGTTTACTCGCTGTATTCTTCTTATTGTATTTAGTGCTGTATCATTTGGTTCCAACATTTCAAGCTGGCTGTCTGTTCTGTTATCTGGCATGAAGGTAAAAGTCTAAAAGAGATGGTGCCTACTTGAGCTCATCCTCCTCAATGAAGCCACTCTTGTCCTGGTCAATAACTTTGAAGGCATTCTTGATGTCATCGGCGCTCTTGGAGGACAGGCCGACCTTGGAAAAGAACTCCTTGTGCTTGAAAGAGTCGGCAGCTGTGAGGAGACAGATAAGGGATTACATCAGACATTGCAGATTTATCGAGCAGGAACTGAAGTGTGCTTTGCAGCTGCACTGGCCCTTTCGTTTTCAAGGTCTGGCAGTTGGTTGCTATTCCTCTGCTCTGACTCTCAATCAGCATTTGAGCTTAATTTGCAGCTGCGGTTTTTTCCTTACAGTAGCTTCACTGATGAATTGGAATAAAGGCTTTGTGCTAAGACAAGCAGAAATTGCATTAGAGTCACATTCTGCATGCTCACTGTACTATTGATCCAGCCCCATGATGGGTTTCAGAGGACATGTGATGATAAATGCTGCAAAGATGCAAGGAGCACCTTCTAAGTGTCTCGTTGTATAATCTTGCAATGTGATTCTGTATGAACAAGTGAATTCTGCAGCAAGACATTCAGCTACAAGTGAGTAAGACATCACAGGTCTGATAAAGTGTGCATCTAGGCTCTCCTAAACTGCAATGCTGGATGCTGTGTCATGTTCGTGATGGGGTTTACCGTGGCAGGCTGCGAGGGCTGCAGTGATGTCAGCCTGGTTGAGGGATGCTGCTAATGCCATTTTGTTGTTTGTTTTTTCAACTGAGGGAGGAGAGCAGAGGACAAGTCATCAGATCATCAGTTCAGCTGTAGCAAATCAGACAGGATTAAGCAGTTTTACTTTGAATCTGTAAAGCATGTTAAGTTCCCTCACTGCACTTTAGGCCAGGATTCAGCATTCAAAGTTAAGGAGCTACAGTAATCTCCATTATATCATGCAATATATTTTACAGTTCCTCTCTGTGAGTATTCCTCTCTGGCAGCCCCAAAAGACAAGGCACAAATGATCAGAAAAGGTAATCCAATTTTCCCAAAACCAAGCCCTCCAAGGCAGAAGATCAAATATCCTTTGCAGCTGTGGTTGGTTGGCAAATAGCTTTTTTCTCCCATTTGGGTCCATAGTTAGTCCAAAGCCCAACTCTGAGCCTCTGATGTTCAGAATCTGGCCCTGTGCGGCCCTTTCCTCGATTTGTATCCCGTTGCATGAAGTTGAAGCCCTGAAACACTCTCTGAGTCAGGCAGTAGAATTGCCGAAAGGCCGGCAGCTCCTCAGTGCAACTCACCTCAGGGATATCTCCAAAAGCTAGAGTGGATGCTCTCAGGTTAATGCGCTCACTGCAGTGAACTACTCAGCCGCTCTTGCAAGCTTATATACCTTCACCCGGCCGAAATATGATGCATAGGCTATGTAATAGACACTGTTTGCAAAGCAGTCGAAGCAGTCGGTCAAAAAAATGTGTCCAGTAGACAGAGCTGTTCTATTTATATGTACATAAATGAAGATGCTTAAATGGTAGGCTGTGTGGGCCTATGCAAAAGTGCTTGATATTGCATAGGGCTAATAATATACGCTGCTGATTTGGGTGAAACATACTCTGTGGCCGTGTAATTTTGATCTGTTAAACTGTGCAGAGCACCACGGAGTGAAGAACGAGGAAAACTCTTATATTGTTTATTCAAATTTGTCGGGCAGGTCAAGCAGGTTTGTATAGAGTGAGTTACTGCAGCTACGTAGTGTGTCAGACAGGTGTGTTTAATAATGACGTTGTTGTTATGAACCTCACAGACTGTGCCATAATATCAGCACGTATCCAACACTTTTCTCACGAGCAACGTAAAGCTTTTCATAAAACTTTTCAATGTGACTTTTAGAATTAATTTGTATTATGACGGATGGCATGTTTATAAAATACATTGTGTGTAAGCCCCTTTTAAATGTCACTTTACATCTTCATTTTGCTAAAGAAATCATTTATAAAAAAACTTTCCGATTATGTAGCCTATAGCAAAGCACAAGCCACCCTATTGTTTTACACCACAGTCACCTTTCAGGATTAATTACCTACATGAGCCTCTGAACTGTACAGTTTTGGTGAAAACGAGCCGTGTTGGCATGCGTAAGATGCCTGCAACGACTTTACTGGCATGCCAGTGTCAGAAAAGTCTGGTTGTTGTGATTGATCATCACAGGCGATGGTTATGTGGTGACAGAGTCCAAAAATCATATTGCATTTTATAGACTTTGTACGCTTTGTTTTCTGCAAAGATCGCAAGAGGAATATATCCCATAACATTTTTCAGTTCTTGTGTTTGGCTCAATGTAGAGGAGCGTTTGTCGACCCGAGACTTAATTAAAAGCTGCAGAAAGTGAGTTTAGCTGTTTAGTCTTCCTCCTTAATTGCATTTTTGTAAATGTTACACCAGTCTTTATCAGAGAGTGTAATTCGGGGGCCAAAGAGGAGGGAGGGGTTTGATTAGACAAGTCAAGTGATCCACTTTAATGCTTTAATTCAACAGCACATATCATCAGAATCTACTGAACATGCAGCTGAGGACCGTCTGCCAGGTTTTATTTTTGGAGCTCTTACACCCATTCAGGCCATTTCTCCTTATGGCGATGAAACTATTTGCGATACTATTTTAGGAAACACCAAAAGCTGATGTCATCGGTATCATCATCATCTCAACACTTCGGTGTTGAACCGCCGTGTGGTTGCGTGATGACACGGAGTTCTCACAGCATCAGGCAATGAAATGAATGAACTAGCACATGGGGGTCTTTCCATGCCCATATTTGCTCTCATGACAGGTGCAGGCTGTCATGTACCCATCATACATCAGGTGGCAGTGTTGAGATGATCCTGTGACGAAAGCTAATATTAAATTATCAGCAGATTTGAATTGCCTGTCCAAATCATAATCAAACCTATATTATATATTATTTATACAGGCAACCTATGGGTAGCTTATGTAATCGATTTTAACTCCAGATTTAGTTCCACAAAGTCTGATCTCTTCAAGTACGTTGACTAATATGTCACTTCCTCCACTTCAGTAGCTTCAGGTGTGTGCTTTTTCAGCAGCCAGAGTAAAAGCACTATATGTTGTTTTCAGCTCAAATCTTCTTAAAAGCTCAGTAAAACTCGTCTTTGGTTTTTAACGTTGGCTGTGGTCAAGTGAGGCCTCTCACCTCAAATGACTCGGCCATAGATACTGGACCTATTCCTGCCCTTCTTCAATATCAGGTTTAAATTACAAATATCTCACAGCGGGGATGAAACCCATCAAGAGGACCACCCCCTCCTTCTTATCCTTCTTTATATTTGAAATGAGCATTTGAAAAAAAAGTAAAATATTTGAAAAGCTAAACCTTAACTTCACCCACTTACATTTTTGAGAAATCAACAACCACATGATCAGACTATCGCGCTAAGTAGCTCGAAGCTGCAGCAGATACTTATTTTGCCCTTCTGTGTGATCAAATTTGTGATTTCTAATGAACGATGTTTCTTCTAACATTCCACCTGAGAGCAGAAGTTTGTTCCAGAAATAGAAGCGCCCATACGTATATTCTCTGCCATCTGAGAGAAAGTTTCAAATAAATGTGCCTCACTGACAGAAGTCCTGCACAGAAACTCTATCCTCTCCCAGAGTTTCTCACTGCAAGCACTCCTTGGACCAGCACATCTGAGGCTCTGCCAGACACCCCTGTCCTCCCATCACAGAGCTACTTCTTTGTCTGCCAGAGCCTCTATTCCAGCTGTGTCCCGCCTGTGTGCCGCTCGACCCCCCCCCCCCCCCCCCCCCCCCCCCCCCCCCCCCCC